TTCGCACTCATCCTCGCCGGGGACCTTCCCTGGGCTGGCACCGTGGGGCAGAAACCAGCGTGCCCGAAGGCAGATCCTGCTGGGAAAGCTGGGGCTGTGCCAGCTGGGAATTCCTCTCCCCCATCCTCTCCCATGGATGAGACGGGCTGTCTAGTGTTTACGAGGGGACCCTGAACCCCCAGACGCACGGGGAGCAGCCAGGAATAAGGTTTTCACGCATCCTTCCTCCTCATCCCCTCAGACATTCCCTTTCCACCAGGTCCCCCTTCACGCGGACAAGGAAAGGCAGCTTCAACGCCAATGACTTCCCGGCCACCGCTGGCTCCGAAGGGGCCGGGCTGCCCAAGGACGGGACCAGCTCGGAAGGGGGAGCGGGAGCCAAGGAGCAGCAAAGCGGGGCGGGGGTGGCTGAGCACAGAGGTGAGCCCGGAGCAGGGGACCCTTTGCGTTGCCGGCCCTGCAGCACCCTCATAGAATCATGGAATGGTTTGGGTGGGAAGGGACCCTAAAGCCCACCCAGTCCCTGCCATGGGCAGGGACACCTTCCATAGCCCAGGTTGCTCCAAGGCTCATCCAGCCTGGCCTTGGACACTCCCAGGGATGGGGCATCCACAGTTTCTCTGGGAACCTGTCCCAGTGCTCCCACCCTCTGCGGGAAGAATTCCTTCCTGATATCCAATCTAAACCTCCCCACTTTCAATTTAAACCCATTACCCCTTGTCCTGGCACTACAGGCCCTATGGGATGGGAGCAAAGCAGGGGGGTGATCGCAGCAGGAGAACAGGCTGGGAGCCTTGGAAGCCGAGTTTCCGGAAGGACAGAGTCAGATCCATGGGGTTTTTTGGCTTTGCTGCCTAACAGCCCATTCTCCACCTTCCCATCTCTCCCTTCCCTCGTGGGCATCACAACCCCACCGGCCCCTTCACCACCCTCTCAATGGGAAACTGAGCAGCTTCCCTTAGTAATTAAGACTCCCAGAGTCTGGGCTCTCCTCCCATGTTTCTCTCCTGAACACGGAAAGCGATCCCAAACAAACAGTGTGTTTTCCTCTGCAGGCGGGAGGGGACACCAGGTCCATAAATCCTGGCCAACCTCCATCACCGAAGGTGACAGCGGCCTGGATTCAAGCGCAGGTAGAGACCGGAATGAGACAGCCCTTCCCCGCCACCGGAGCAGGGAGCCAGGCAGGACCTGCCGCTCCGCTTTTACCTGCCTCCTGTCGCAAATAGCTGCTCGGATCCCAGGCTCCGATGGATGGGATGGGATGGGATGGGCTTGGATGGGATAGGTTGGGATGGGATGGGATGGCATGGCATGGCATGGCATGGCATGGCATGGCATGGCATGGCATGGCATGGCATGGCATGGCATGGCATGGCATGGCAAGGGCTGGGGTACCACTGACCCTTTACCCCACCACGCTGGCTGCAGCCTGCCCCACAGCAGGGCACATGCAGCCCCTACTCGCTCCCAATTTCTCATTTTCTCCGGAGAGCAGCCCCAGCCGTGGCTGCTCGCCGTGGGAATAGCCACAAGCTTCTGAGCATGCTCAGGAGAGAAACAGCTTTCCCAGGAACCTCACCGGCTTGTGGTTTTTCTCCTGGCAGGGGAATTTGGCCGTAAGCTCCAGCGGCTGTCCTCCAACGGCACCATGTCCTCCAACGAGGAGCTGGAGGAGAAGGATGAGAACGCCACCCCCTTCGAGCAGAGTACGTGGCAGCGCGGGAGGGGGCACGGCGGGATCACGCACCAGGGCAAAGCTGACTTTGCCCCAAATTCGGCAGTTCTGGAGGTGAACTGAGCAGTTGCCGGGAGGATTCCTGGCGGTGACCCCATGAGGAACCCAATTCCTTTACCGAGGGATGAGCTGTGCTTGGGGCAGTGGGAACAGCCGAGCTGGGGCTGGACCCCTCAGCGCAGGGGGCTATTTGAGATGTTGCTAAAGAGCCAGTGGATCCGGGTGGTCATCGGCGCGGCCGCAGTGACCCCTCTGCCCACGCTTTGCTTGACCTTCCCCCCCCAGCAGCCGGGATGCAGCCCCATCTCCTTTTGCTCTGCTCGTAGGCATCAACGGGATCACCCCGGAGATGACGGCTCCGACGGGGCCCTTCCGAAACGTTGGCTTATCCAAGGCTGCCCAGACTCACCGGCTGAGGAAGCTCCGTACCCCTTCCAAGTGTCGGGAGTGCAACAGCTACGTTTACTTCCAGGGAGCAGAATGTGAGGAGGTAAAGCTGGGAGAAGTGGGAAGAGAGCTTGGTGGGTGGAACAGATGGATATGTCCCATCAATGGGGGGGGTCCTGGAGCTACTTCCAGGGATGGGGCATCCACAGCTTCTCTGGGAACCTGTCCCAATGCTCCCCACCCTCTGGGGGAAGAACTCCTTCCTGACATCCAATCCAAATCTACCCGATTTCAACTCAAAGCCATTACGTTGGA